AAATATCTTTCATATAATTGGTCAATTTGAACAGCAAGTGTATAAGCGTGGTGATTGTAATAATAATAACTAAAGCAAAAATGCTAGGCGGTGATTAAATTTATGAGTTAGTTGTAAGTTAATGTAAGCTAGCAAGACTTTTTATTTCGTTCTAGAGATGGGTTCGACTACAAATGATTATGATTATTCATAGCCAATTTGCTAAATACTAAGATGATTTTTTGTTCTTAAGCTTTTAATTAAAGTTGTTTAGAATTAAATTCTGTTTATCACATCTTAAAAGTAGAAAGAATATTGTCTTCTCTGAAATTTGAAATTTTAAGATTTGTTAATATCGTAGTCGACTATTAGCTAGTGGTTAGTAGCTGGCTATAACATTAACAAATCTTAAAATTCTGAGTTTCAAAGAAGGTATTTTCTTTTTACTTTTAACAAAATTTAATTCTGAACAACTTTAATTAAAAGTTCAAGAACAAAAAATCATCTCAGTATTTAGCAAATTAGCTATAAATAATCGTAGCTGTTTATAGTCAAACCTATCTCTACTTCGTTCTAGCTCAATAAATAATATGAGTTTTTACTAATTGATTATGATTTAAATCTAATGATTACTTACTATACTACGTTATTTTCAAACCTCCCAAAACAAATCCTATACCTGTCAAATCTGATAAAATTTATTTACCAAGTCCATTTCCATTATGCTGTTAAACCTCTTAAAACCAATATATATAGTGAACCAATTTTGTATCAGCATTGAGAGGTTATTGGATTTAAAAACATTATAAACTATTAGATTTATACATATAATGGAAACAGACTTGGTAAACTAATTTTTTATTAGATTTGACAGGTTATCGATTTTGGGAAGGTCAATGTATATAGAATCCAAATTTAATAATTGAATCCAGATTTGCTCAGATTCAAATTATCATCCAGATACACAAAATAAAATCCGAATTCAATCTGAATGGCCTTTTAAAAATAGAATCGAAATACTAATATTCATATCATAAAAACTATTTAAATAGTGCACTGGCTGTATTCAAAAGTATAAACTCTAGAATTAATTTAAAAGACAATTAGCATTCTTAATACAATAAAAAGTTTATATAATAATGTTAATATCCTTTACTTTTATATTTATATTTAACAATTAAAATACTATGCTAATTATATTCAAAACTGTAGACTTTATAGAGCTAATTCAAAAAAGACAACTAAATTAGCATTATTAGTACTAACATGTTTCTAAATTTTATAATAATAAATTAAAATGTAAATACAAATTCTATGACTTGAATTTTTATTTAAATAAAGAGATAAATCTATCAAATAAATTTAGTTAGCTTAAATTAATAAATCAAAATGCAGTGAGTGTTTTGATGATACATTTCTTTTCAAATAATGTGATATTTATATATTCAAAATATTACAATTACAGATATTATTGTAATAGTATCTGCAATAATGAGATTTAGCATCTAATCGCATAGCTTGAAAACTTAAATAAAAGCTATTTATCTTTTTTTTCTCATTCACTAATTCATCTCTCTCTTATGCTAACACTAAACACTAAATATAAAACTCTATTTACTATATCTAACATGTTAAACACATGTTATACAATTATTAATTTTTCTGAGTCTTCTCCTGAAGGCTCTATAGTCTCTTCTCAAAATCCTTAGGTTAAAAAGAAGCAAAAGATTACTGATTTTTCTCCAGAATTTTCTAATAAAGTTACTGCAATCTCTATTCAAGATCCTAAAAACTATATTAGTTTCGATTATTCTAAAAAAAAACAAAAGTGTGAAATAGATTATAAATATTCTGATGAATTTGATAACAACTTTAAAATTCTTTTCAACAAAGAAAGTTTAATAACTCATGTTAAATCTTTGAATTATAATGGGTTGTTCTAAATAAACATTTATTTTAAGTACTTGAAACAATCTTATTTTTAAGATTAATCTTTACTTTTAACTCATGTTATAAGTTTTCAGACCATCAAAACCTTTTTGCTAATATAAACAAAAAATTTGATTTAGCAAAAGTAAATGTTTAAAATATTATAAAAGCTAATCAAAGCAAATTGACAATCATTTTGAATACTTTGAAAGCATGCATAAACCAATATTTTCTTGGTATTGTAACTCATTGAATCAATAAAGAATAGAAGTTAAAAAATCTTCTTCTTGACTTCATTTTCTTGAATAATGTCTACACTGGAATATATTTCAAAAGAAGACTTGTCAAAGATATAAAAATAAAGAACAAATAATTAGAATTACCAACGATAATACTATAAGTAATTAGACATGTATTGATTAACTTAAAAAAGAAATTAATCTTGATCTTGAATATATAAATTGTGCCATGTATGTGATTAATCTCATGGCTGAAGCAGATTAAAAGAAATACATTTCTCAAATTCAAAAAGTTCGTCAATTTATTACCAAAGTAAAAACATCATCATTATTTTGGAAAAAATAAAAAAATGTTCTATTGGTATAGACCATTAAACTTTTTATGTTAAAATTAACAATGATAACAATATAAAGTAAAATTCTACAGGGTGAAATTCCACTTATTTAATGCTTGAATGATTTAACAAAATTCAAGAATTTATTAATATCATTATATAACCATATCTAAATATAAAAAAATATTTTTTAGAAAATAATGATCTTATAATTATCAAAGAGATGATGCAGCTTTTTGAGCTATTTTATAATATAGCTTTGATTCTTTCAGACATTTTACAACTCTCTCATAGTTCTTTATGATTAATATTTTTAGACTTCTTGACGCATCTTAATCATTATCTTTTTGTTAGTGGTATATACTATAAAGCAGCCCAAAAGATGAAAGTCAAGCTGGAGAAATATTAGGTTTATCTTTTAAAATTTTTTAAGATCCCAACTCTAATAGATTCATTATCTAAATTTGAACCATTTTATATAACTGACTATCAATTAGTAATTAATAAATTAAATAACTTTTATTCATTATATATGACAGATAACTCTGAAGAAAGCACTATTAAAGTAGAAAACATTGTTAAAAATTAGTTAGAAAGATTTTATAAACTTGTATGAATAAATAAAATCAGAGAAATAGATGAATTAGAAGCCTATCTTTTGTTAGCTGCAAGCCAGAAACAGATCCGCTATTATGGTGAAAGAGCTATGTCTTCTATTTTTTAACCTTAGCTAGCATTGTAGCAGACTATTTGATCTTACAAACAACTTGTATTTCTTGCAAGCATGTTTCTTTTATTACAAAATATACTATTGATTATATTAGAAATAGTATTTCTGAAAAAATGGCTAAGGCTTTGTTCTGCTTAAAAAATTAGTTTAAAGCAAAATAGTTGAATAGAAATAGTTCTTTTTCTTTTTTTAGATAAAGTTTATCATTATCTTTTTGTATAACATAAAGTGTCATATGATTTTTTTGTAAACTAAACTTCAATCCACAGATTGAAGATATTTATAATTAGTAAAATAAAATTTTAGCATTGTCATACTATAAGATGTCTTTTATTAAATATCTTGTCTTTATAAAATTAAAAAATATTAAATATTATAGGAAAGATTAAAAGTGAAATAAAGTTAATTTTTATAGTAATTTAATATAGCATGAGACTATAAAATTTTACTATAAAAAATCTTAATTAATGAATGAACACTATATCATATACACTATGTTTGTAATTAGACCGATAATAGACACTCCAATAATTTATGCTAAACCAGTACTATATAATATAGAAATAGAGACATTGAAGATAATATCATATAGTATTATATTTAAAGTAAATTATGAATACTCTACAGTAACATTGTATTAAAGCAAGTAAAAGTGGCTTGTTTACACTATTAATTGACTGGCAAAAATTTTCAAAAATAAAGAAATAAAATATGATATCAAAATTATATATTGTATAATTTTATTATATGCTTTAATTTTAATAGTAGTTAAGTAAAAGATTTAGTACTAGTAGAACTCTATTTTTAGATACTTTGAGTTATTGATTTTTTATATTAAAAACAACTGCCAAATAACTCAAATTATTTTGTAAGATAAATAGCTTTATTTTAGAAACAGTTCTAAATTATTTGTAAAATCCTAAAATCTAAAAAACCCTACTGCCAACTTCAATAATATGGTATGGTTATGTGACTATCAGGCTTTAGTCTATGAATACGACTCTAAATAATATTGATCTTATATTAGTTTAATAATCACTTTAATGCTACATTTCATTTACCAGCCATGTGTATCATCAAATAAATATGCCAAAAAGTTCAAAAAATATCAGTATTTACCCATAGCTAATTTGCTATGCTCTATTTCTATTAGGCTATAGGTGCAATTATCTTTGTTTGAAGAATGAGTTATACCTCCTTTGATTGTATTTTATTAACGAAAATACTTACACATGTTATATTATGATAGCAGCAGAAAAAGACATTGAATAAGAAAAAATATCGAATAAAAAAATAACAAATTACTTTAATAAACAAAATGGTTCTCTTAAGGTTAGTATTTTTCATTCTTATAAGATGATAAAATATTCATAGCAAAAAGCAAATTTGCTATATCCTGTTTTTGCAGCACGAGGAGGAGAAGTGTTTGTTTTGTATAATTGTATTAAATTAATATGCATAGTGATGAGCCGTGGATATAACTGCATTTTGTTGGTTATAAATCAAGGTCTGCTAATTCTAGATGAGGAATAGGCTATATATATCTTTTGATTTTGCCAATAACCTATATATTCTTAGAAGGTGGCAAAGCACTTATAGCAAGAAGCAAGTTTGCTACACCTAGTTTCTGCAGTACAAAGAGAAGAAGCATTTGTCTTGTATGATTGTACTAAATTAATATGCATAGTAATGAGCTATGGGTGTGATTGCATTTATCATTATAAATCAAGATTTGCTAATTTCAGATGAGAAATATGCTATATATCTCTCTTGATTTTAAGGTGACAATCACTTATAGCAAGAAGCAAGTTTGCTATATTTAGTTTCTGTAGCACAGGGAGGAGAAGTATTTGTCCTATACAATTGTACTAAATTAACATGCATAGTGATGAGCTATAGATGCAATTGTATTTGTTATTATAAATCAAGGTCTGCTAATTCCGGATGAAGAATATGCTATGTACCTTTCTTAATTTTGCCAACAATCTGTACTTTATCTTCATTCTTAGAAAGTGACAAAGCACTCATAGCAAGAAACAAGTTTGCTATGCTCAGTTTTTGTAGTACAGAGAAGAGAAGTACTTGTTTTGTACAATTGTACTAAATTAATATGCATAGTGATGAACTATGGGTGTGATTATATTTGTTGGTCATAAATCAAGGTCTGGTAATTCTAAATGAGGAATATACTATGCACCTCTCTTAATTTCAAGAATACTGATATTTATTTATTTTGTAATAGTATAAAAAAAAACTACTAAATAAAATAACAAACAACATATATAAAGAGGAGATCTACCCTGTTCATCAGCAAGAAAACTCTCCTAATATTTGTCAAAAATTGATTAAATTTTGAAAAGTACTTAAAAAAGCAACAATTAGCAAATATTTTTATGATTGGCAAAGAGCATCTATTTTCTAGAAAAATTATTACAACTTTTCAATATATATACTTGTAACTATTATTTTGATCTACTAAAGATTGTTTTTGATAATAAAATACAAAAATTACAAATTACAAAAAATCCAGGCATTGGTAAAACTTTTTTTCATATTTTTTACTTTACTAATTATCCCAAAAAATAAAACAATAGTATACTATAAAATCAATAATAACCTAATTCTATTTAGTAATGAAAAAGTTATGAGTAACAAGGACATATTTAGGTTTAATAAATATCTAAATAATCCAGATATCTGGTATGTTGTCGATGGTATTGAACTAAATAAATACGAGTCTAAAACAGTTCTTGTATATTTATCTAAAAAAGACAATTATAAAGAATTCAATAAATATATTAGAACTACTATAAGATATATACCAATATAGTTATTAGAAGAAATTTAAGAATTTAGATATGGTGCATTTAAATATTTAAAACTATTATCTGTAAAAAGTTTATACTCAAAATGTGAAGGTATTCCTCGGTATATTCTAGAGAATGCCTTGGATAAGGCAAAGCAAATTTATTTTCAAAAAGCGATAAACATTGTTAATAAAAAGATCTTTCATTATATTGGAGAAACAGATTTTCTGAACAACATAAGCTATATAAGCTTATTTATAAACACAAACATTCCGAATAGCAAAGGTAATGAAGATCCTCCATATACAAAAACAATCATAATATTTGCTTCAGAATACATTGCTGACAAAATAATATCAAAACTAGAAAAAGTATATAAATTTTACCTAAAATAGTTCTTAATTTCAAGTTCTCTGGAGAGAGAATTAGGCATGCTCCAAGGGTGTATATTTGAATATTTTGCCCACTAGTTCCTGCAAAAAGATAGAAAATCCAATACCCGTTTTTTAAGAACTAATTACAGTATTAATGTGATTGAAATATCTGAAAGAAGCAAACTAATATTTAATAATATAAGCATGATTCAAGAGCAATTCTATTGTCAACCAAAAAAAAAATTTTACATCTATTAATGCTCTTATAGCATCTAACATTTTATTCCAAATAACGATTTCTACTATTCATTCAATCAAGCTATATAGGCTAATTAAATTGTATGAAAAATTGGGTGGCAAGTCATGTCAAGATGATATAAATTTCTATTTTGTTGTATCTACCGATTTGTATGATAATTTAAAAAGGCAAAATTTTTGTAATGCAGGTGGAAAAATTGCTACAAATGTTTCACCTTGGATTACAAGGTGTATTAAACAATACACACTTGAGATAGACTTCAGCTTCTTGTGAAAAAATTGTTATAAAGTTTTTCAAATTTAATTTTTCTTGGAACTGTGGTTGGGCATTCACATGATTTATTGTATATAAACATGTTTTGCTAGTAGTCTAGGATTTTTTGAAAGGTTTAATAGTAGCATAGACACTTAATCTAGATAAATAATAGTTTTTTTTTAATAAATAGAGAATTTTATTGAGTAAATTTACTTGCTATTCTATATATTCGATTCAATTTATCTGTTTTATTTAAATAAATATTGAATTTTATTAAGTAAATTTACTTGCTATTCTATTCAATTTATTTAATTTATCTGTTCTATTTACAGTAAATTATTAATCTATTTTTATTAATAAATTTTCAAGTTTCAAAATTCTAAATTTATTACTAGACTCATACTTATTCAATCAACTTAGTGCAAGGAATAGTATTATTTATTAATTGGGTCTTTACTATTCTTATAAATGCATATTTTATTTTCAAAGACTATAGCAAAAGATCAAAAACTTAAGAGTTTGCTAATCATTTCTAAATATGAATTCTGTGTCAGATTTTGTCAGATACACAATTCTATCTGTATATATTTGTGTAATACTTCTTGCATATTGTTATACAATCCATTTTATAGATTAACAATAGTTAATAGTAATAGTATATAAAATTCAAACTGTACTAACTTTTGAACTAGCAAACTCATATAAATAAAATTTAAGTGAATTTACATATAAGGGTCTGAAAAATGAAAATAATTAAAAAAAGAGCTCAAAATGCCAAAATAATTTGATTAAATTAAATACAATATATATTAATTTATAATATTTATTTGATTATAATGCTATATATACTAAATTAATATTTTGTGAAGATTACTATAAATTAATTGAAGATATTTAGAACCAAAAAAGCTCATTTTTATTCATAGAGAAAGTTAAATTACTTTTAAAAATTGGCAAAAGTGGTTATAATTTTTATATAAAAGTTGCTAAAAGAATAAATACAATACTAATTTAAAAGTAATACATTTAAATATTAAAAGACAATTACATTTATATAATTTTGTATATAATATTATGTGTAATACTACATGCATATCTCAGAAATATGATGCTTATTATAAAATTTATTTCATATCTGGAATTTTTATATTTCTTGCCAAGATTTATCAATTGACAAGATCAGTTTTTTTTATAAATTTTGTACTGTACAAATATATATGCCAATTATGATATTTTAGGCAGACTTTTATAAATTGAAACTTATTAATAAAGTAGCCCAAACCAATAATCACTTATACATTGTAAGAATTTTTTTTTTTTTTTTTTTTTTAAGATGAAATCACTTTTCTAGATACTTTTTATTATGTTAACTGTATATATTACATCTATTACAGATATGTGATATAACTAACTTTTATATATGTCAAGACTAAGGCTATGGTCAACTATCTATATCTGGGAATCTTATGCTATAATTCAAAGTATCTCTAGTATCACAATTTACTTTCGACCTAATACCAGCTAGCAAGGTAAGTGATCTACCAGTCTAGGTTGTTTGTGTCCTATACACAACAACCTTTTCGCAGTTATCGAAGTTTTCACTTGCAATTTGTTGTTATACTTTAAGTCCATCAATGATATCTTGGGTTCCTACCTTCACGGTGTAGGACTCTAATAAACAGTTTCTTGACACATAACCCCATTGATCGTTTTTTGCTCTTATCTGGTTTACAACAACCCCAGTACCCATATTTGAACCATCTTCTTATCCAGATTTTTTATCGATCTCTCCCTTACTTCTAGCTGGCAACCCAGAAGGGTTGGTCTGCTCAGGCTTTAGATATCTGAAGGACACTCTCCTCTTGGTTCATACTTTCAGAGCATATATCCTTTTTTTCTAATGCAACAACTTGGCAGTTCAGCTAGTGTGTTCTCTGCTATAGGACCTGGTTACTTGGTTCTCCAATCTCAGACCCTGGTTCAAATTCAGCCCTTTTGTAATACTATCATAAAAATTTTTTTTTTTTTTATTTGCAAATTGCTAATTATATAGCAAACTTTATTAGAAGTTAAGATATTACAATTGTATTATAAATTACATTCATATACTACTGTAAATTCTCTCTAGCTCAAATCTATATATTAATTTCATACTCCACTCAAGCTGACAAATGCCCACTACAATCCTATTAAACAAGCCTTATGCACAATTATCTGCTATATTAGTATCATGTCTAACGGAAAGGTGTAGTGGAAGCCCTCTAATTCCTTCAATGTCCTATATATTTTTAGATTAGGTTTTTGGAGATATTATGTCTTTAAACCGAAGTTAGTTACCTCTATCTATTTCCTGCCCTTATTTGGTTTACAACAACCCCAGTACCCATATTTGAACTGTCTCCTTACCTGGGTTCTTTATCAGTCTCTCTCTTACTTCTAGCCGGCAACTTGGAAAAGTTAGTTTGTCCAGGCTTTAGGTACTTGAAGAATGCCCTCTCTTTGGTTTATACTTTCAAAGCATATATTCTTTTTTTCCAGTGTGACAACCCGGTGGTTCAGCTAGTGTGTTCTTTGCCAGTGGACCTGGTCACTCAGTTCTCTGATCTTGAACCCTGGTTCGAATTCAGCCCTTCTGTAGTACCATCAAAGATCACTGCTACCTCCAAATTCAGAACTTGCTAAATGGGTTTTTAGTTATAATGGTCCTTTGGATTTATTGTGTCAAAGCTTCTATTATGAGATAGTATGACCGAAGTTACAGATTTTGTTCTAGATCCAACTAATAAGCATAGCCGTTAACTGAAACACAAGCCTATTTTTTAAATATCGTCATCTGTGGGATTTGAACTTCAGACTTGCCACTTGGAGAGAGTGATGACTAGACCACTATACTAAGTTGCCACATCTTCTATTGTAAGAATTTAAATTGTTTTTAAAACTTATTGCTCTTTTCGATTTAGTTAGGTTTAATTACAGCTATTTTTATAAATTCTGGAACATCTGGTAAAAAATTAATTAAATGATTGTTTGGCTAGTTTAATAAATTTTTAATTTAGTGGTGATAAACTTTTAATCTAGGCATGATTTACAAATATTTTTACAGCTGTTTTTATAAATTCTGAAACACCTAAAAATTTTCTTATTTTCTGAAATCTTTTTAGCTTTATTCTAAAGATTATTAGAATTACATCATTGTCTTCAGAACTTTATTCTGAAGATAGTGATGTATTTTCCAAAGAGTTAGATAATCCATAGAATAAAACTGAAGAAATTTCAGAAAATAAGAAAATTTTTAGGTGTTTCAGAATTTATAAAAACAGCTATAATAGATTT